AGGAGTACGTACTACTACTTCCTACGTAGTTAGTTAGTTAGTAGTCTCGTACTTACTATATTAGTTAGTACTACTATATTACTTACTTACTATATAATATACTATATATATATATATATATATATATATATATATATATATATATATATATATAGGTTTGATTAACACCTCACGAAATCCTATAGGCTACATTTAGAAAGTGGTGTGAACTGTCAAAATTATTTTAGTTGCTTATTTCTTTATTCCATGGCTATAATTGAATAAGGGCATTTTTGTCATCGTAAAAGGTATTGATGTTTTTACTAAAAGAAAAGGATTAACCATAGATTAAAGGGAAAAGTTTATATAGAGCCGAGGCTCTAAACAATCAAATTAGAGCCTACCTCAAAAATTTCACTAGAAGAGGTTGTTTTGATGCCTAAATATCCTCAAATTGATCATCTCGACATCAAGATGCATGGACATGAGAAAAAAAAATGAATTTCAAGTTTTGGAAATAGTGTATTTTGTAACGCATTTTTGGACCATCAATTTTCAAGTTTTCATAGATATGTCGATCTACACTGTTTTTGAAATTTTAAACTTTATAAATAAATATGAAATTATATTTTAAGGCGATCACAAAGATTTCCAGTATTGAAATCACATTTCTCGACACTATTTGAAGGTAGGCATGTGACTGGATCACCAAAAAATATATAAAACTATTTAAAGAGATTACCCAATGACAATTATAGATATCATGTGAAATGTCACAAAAAATTCATAAATTCGCAATGACTGACCTGTGGCCAAAACTTTCAAATCAGTCAGCAGAAGGATGACATGAATTACTAATCAAAAATTTCTCGAAACTAGGTCCAGGAAATTGATGAAACTGCATAATCACCATATGATCTTCGAGAAAGATGGACAGGAGATCCACTAGCTGGGGCAACCCAAGTTAAATGAATCTTACACATGGCACACTTCACACATGAGCAAGAAAACCCAGAAAATTGAAAAAATTTATCCGATCTTCACAATAAATTATCATTAGATCTTCCAAAACAACACTTTTTTTCTTTGGGCCAGATGCCGAAACAACTCTAACCACAAACAGAAATAGGCCTACGCAACATGCCCATTTGGTGTTCACATAACTCCCTACAAATGCCAATGACTGAAAAAAAAAAAAAAAAAAAAGCCTTTTAAGCAATTCAAACATGAAATAACTTCTTTAAAGCATCACACAACCCTAAAAGTCCTATTAGCTAAAGGAGACCAAAAACCGATGTCATATTCGCTTCGAAATCTTCTTTGGTTTACTCAGAAAAACGAAGCAATTTGGTGCTTCAGCCGGTTCGGGGGAAGATATATAGCCGGGGGCATTTCTGTAGGTTCTCTCACGTTCTATGAATAAACATCAAAGACTGCAAAAAGCCCAAAGCCAAGAACTAGATCTAGTTTGCCACTCTCTGTCTCTAGCTCTATGTGGCTCACTCCTGGAGGAGAGAAAAACCCTCACTTCAAAGCTCCTTCTCATCCTCCTCTGTCTCGTCCGCATCTTCCTCCTCTTCTCCTCAAACCCCAACCCAATCCAATCCCAAAACTCCCAAACCCTAACCTGCAACCCCAATTCCTCCCTTTGATTGCCAAAAATATCCCCCATCTTTGCGGATATTTGCAAACACAATCAAGAGATTAAAAGTACCCTTTCCTATATTCTCTCACTGATCTTGGAATTCCTCAAAGTCCCATGGAAATATACTGATATTGCATAAGGTTAAGCCATTTAGGAAGCCTGATTTACCTGAGAAATCAGGAAATTTTGTCTGGGATGGGGGGCAAAATGGGCACTGTGGTGGACTTGGGGGTAAATGTGGACATGGCGGCCTGCTACAGCTGTGAGCTTTAGGGTTTTGACTTTAGAATCAGTGGCTGAGAATTTGCAAAGATTGTGCAATGGGGTTTGGTTGGATAGAGTTGGTTCTCAGGTCATCATTTTCTCTGCTGCTGCCATTGACCGGCTTGCAAATATGATTTTTTTAGTATTGTAAATATCTCATTTTTAGAGGGTTTAATCTCCTCTCTCTCTCTC